CCGGACGGATGCAGCAGTTCCGACAGCGAGGCGTCGCTCTTGCCCGACTCATACCCGCCAAAGCAGTACTTGAAGGCGACGTACACCTCCGTGAGGTAGCGAATCTGCAGGAGGATGGTGGCAGTCCAGTTGGGGTGCGTCCGCAGCAGCCACACAATGTTTGACATCTTCCGCATCAGCCACGGAATCAGCAGGACGGCAACTTGTGTGGTGTCTTCCGACGACGATGATGACCTGGCGGTCGCACGCGCGGCGTCACTGTCGTTGGCACTTCTCTCCCCGAGATGGTCCCCGTGCTTAGTGCCACGCCGCCGCCCCTGCAGCAGCTGCTCGTCCTGCTGTGGCTGGTCGTCGCCGCCGTCGTCCGTGCCCACCTCTACGAACAGGCAGCCGCACGTACTGCAGGCGGGGGCAATGCGTTTCGGGTCCGCCGCCTCGAAGTACGCCGGAGAGGAGGAAATGGGTGCACCAAAGTCGAGGTCGACGGGCGGGAAGAAGAGACTCACCTTGCGCCGCGCCACACGGTTGCGGTAGCGCGTCACCACGTCCGTCTCCTCGTTGTCGTTACAGCGGCAGCGATATCGTGTGCTGTGCCACGTTGACGCGTACTTGTACCAACCTTTATCCGCCAGCCGAATGGTGTTCAGCAGGAGATCACTGAGGGCCACCACTAGCCATATCCAGTTCACGCGGCGCTGCAGCATGGGACGGTTCTTTTCCACCAGTGAAAGGTTGAGGAAGGTCTCCGACGAAAGTAGGAGGACATCCCGAAGCACGCGACGACCAATTGCCATGATATTGCGTAGACCAAGAAGCAGCATGAGAGGTGTGCTAAACTGCAGGACGCGCTTCCGCCACTGCACCGGAAGCCCCATCTCTGCAGGGATGCCTTGCTCTTCACCACCCATCCCCTTTTCGCCATGACCGCCTGCGTACTCTGTCGTGCCCACGACTCCGCTTGACACCAGGCTAATATTGCTACCGTTGAACTCACCGCTGGGCACCTCGAAGGGCTCCTCTTCCTCGTCCTCGTCGTACAACGCCACGTGCTGTTTAGAGCGGTTTGAGAGAAACCGACTCCCACCATGCTGGTGACTACCGGTCGCGTTGCACGGCGACGGAAGAGCATCGCCTAACCGCGGTTCGTATGGCAATGTGTGAAATAACGAGAGATAACCGGAAGGACAGCACGCCTTGTCCCCCAACTGGTTGAGAGACTTCTTGCCGCCGTCATTCGTCCGCTTCGTTGGCGCAGTTCCCTCAGGCGCGCCACCAGTATGATGTTCGTCATCGCCGTTATTGTTGTGAGCCGTTTCATCACCAGTAGAACTGTCATTCAACGTGCGCAGTGGTCGCAGCAGTTGAGTCTCTGGCACCAACGGTGACCGGCGCATGGAGTTGTGGCGCCACGTATCGGCCATGAGCGACGCTGGCATTGTGGATTGCACTGACGGTGGAGATGACAACGCTTCCTGTGGCACCGATTCTATTCTCGTCGCAGATGCATAACTGCTATCTTCGCGGGCCTCAGACGAGTCTGGGTTCAGCTGCTTCTCCTGTGGTTGATCCGGGTTCATGTTTTCAGCGATCATGTTGTGTATGGTGTTGTATACCTTATCCTTGACGTAAAAGCACCGTGTTGCGTTGAGCTCCGCTGCTGTCAGCTCGTCGGGGTTCACACTCACACTTTCTTGCCGCCTCCCCAGCGTTGTAGTCGGCATTGTCCGCCGCCACGGGAACTCCGCCCGCGCCACGCATGAGTACATGTCGTCTGTCACAAGCGAGTCCATTTTGCTCGTGTCGGCGCTGCCCACGCCTTTCTCGCCCGGGAAGGTGCCCGTCTTCCTCTTGTAGCCCAGCAAGGCACTTGTGTGGGGAATCCGGAAGCAGGAGGACACGGAGGTCTTGAGTCGGTCCAGCAACCCCCTCACAGCATTGCCGTGCTTCATCACAAGCCGATCAATGACCTCCTTGAGGTACAAGATATTCAGTACCCAGCGACCAAGCTTGAAGAGACTGCGACCGTGCCGGATGGTGTTGCCGTTGCGCCAAAACCGCTCGGCCCAATAATCCACGAGAACCTGAGAGTCTGGTGAGAAGAGCATAGGATGCTTGAGGAAACACATCATTGTCTGCAGCCCGTATTGCAGACACTTGAGGAGCTTGTCCCGCCCCTCTGACGCGGTCAAAACGTACAGCACCGTGCTGCGCGGGAGGTCGTTAGGAATGAGCGCGCCAACGGCGTCCATGTCGTCTTGGAAATAGCCCTCGACAAGCACCTGTGTCCGCCCCAAGTTGTCGCGTTGGCGCAGCAGCTGCGGCGCGTCAATGCAGTCACCGCCGTCTTCGTTCTCGCCGCCACCAAATTTCGCGGGGTAAATGACGGTCATGAACGGGTCGACTGCGGCTGGGGGGTTGGTTGGACTGTCTACAGTGAACGGCATCCTGCCACTGTTGCCCGCCTCATTGACAAAGTCCATGCTGCCGCGCTGCAAGATCTCTTGGCTCTCCGTCACACAGCGACTCAAGTGCGGTGATGTTGACATGTGCGTGCGTGCCGTAGGGAAGAGTCGGGCACGGAGTGCGGGCGCCTCGCCGCCGCTCTTATGAGGGGGGACCTCGCCATTGGGCACCACGGCCGTGGCGTTTGCCCCTTCGCCTGCCGTGCGATCGGGCTCCTCATTCAGTGGCACACTCTTCTTTTTGTGTGTTAGTTCCTCACTCATGACGCGGCGTCGCAATCACGCACCTCGACGTCCCACACAAACGTGTGTTTTGTTTTTTCCTTCTTTGATTTCTAGCGGCGGTGTTGCCTGAACCTACGCGTGTGCAGGCGCGTGCCGATTAAGTGGGCGGGGCTTTGGGGGTTTTATATATAAAAAAAAACAAAAAAAAAAAACAAAAGCAAAAGTGGCCGGCCGGAAACAAGAACAACAACAGGGATGCGGAAAAAGAAAACAACAGAAACAAAAATAACGAAGAAAGACCAACCAGGGAGAAAAATAAAAATACAAACTCCTTCGTCCTTCTCTTGTTGTGTCCTTGCCCTCTATCCCTTATGTGCACCTTCCCCTCCACCACCACCGCGGGTATTTACGCGTAGGCGCGCGGAGAAGCGAAAAAGAGAAGCATAAGAAGAGGGGAAAGTGAGTGATGGCGACACGCAGATGTGTCTTGCTCGTCATGTTTCAGTTTGGCTTTTTTTTGGAGTGTGTGTCTTCCGTGTGAGCAGTGCAGCAGCGTGCCTGTATGCGTGCAGATACGTCTTCTTGTTTTGTTTCATTTCTTTTTGGTGTGTTTGTTTGGCTTCCGTTAGTTCTTATATATA